CCAGTAATTCCACTTCTGTGAAATAGCTCATCTGTATTCAAAAAATTGGAGCCATAGCCCTGGCTGGTTTGGCTCAGTAGATAGAGTGTTGGCCTGCGGACTCAAGGGTCCTGGGTTCGATTCCAGTCAAGGGCATGTACCTTGGTTTCGGGCACATACCCAGTGGGGAGTGTGCAGGGGGCAGCTGATTGATGTTTCTCTCTCATCGATGTTTCTGTCTCTCTATTCCTATCCCTTTCTCTCTGTGAAAAATCAATAAAATATATTTTTTTAAAAATTGGAGCCATCTTGAAGGTCAAAATTAAAGGAATGATTACATTACGATACTTCTATATCATTGAATACTATGTCATTAAAATCATCTTTAGAAATATTTTTAAATAACAAATAAAAATATTTCTAATATATGCCAGATATGTAAAACAGATACAGTATGACTTCAACTATGGCAAATAGAGTCATTAGAAGATGTGGAATATGACAAATTAAACAGTATATATTTTTTCTTGGTTTTGAGGTTATGAATAATCTTTATTTTTTCAATCTATATGTTTCTATATTTTCTGTTTTATAGTTATACTAGGGGCCCGATGCACAAAATTCGTGCAAGGGGCTCAGCCCCCACCGCCGCAGCGCTGCCTCTGGCCTTGCCTCCGCCGCGCAGCTTGCAGGAGGCAGCTGATCGATGTTTCTCTCTCATCGATGTTTCTAACTCTCTATCTCTCTCCCTTCCTCTCTGTGAAAAAATCAATAAAATATATTTTAAAAAAAGAAAAATTAACACAAACTAATTAAAATCTTACAGCAGTTCAGAGAAGATTTCATGGGGAATTCATAATTAGGAAATACATATTTTAAAAGAAAAATTAACACAAGCTAATTAAAATCTTACTGCAGTTCAGAGAAGATTTCATGGGGAAAGTGAAAAGCTGAGACTGGAAAACAATAAAATAATCCAAAAGAAACAGAGGTTGACTTGGTACCTATCAGTGTATGGAATGGGTGTCTATGTCAGCTAAAATTTGTGATTTTCATTCTGTGACTACAGAGATGAACAAAAGTAGGGGATGTGGTGATCCAGGATAAAAATTACCATTGGCTGGTCATGGCTACAGTGAGATAGACATAACTCTTATTAGAACTGAACTAGGAGCTCTAGAAAGGTGGAAGAAAACTTTATTATTTAGAGAAAGGACCAGGAGAATAAAGAACCCAGAGAATAAAGAGAAATGCATGCATACAAATGGTGGGGATTAGTCAGAATAGGAATACTCCCCTAAGAGCAGACAGGAGTCAGGGGGGGCACAGGAGCTTCTCTATGACATTTGTCTTGAAGTTTTGTCAGGGAAGAGAGGTTGATGCTACAGTGTGCAAACAAGAGACAGTGTATTGAAGTTACCTGATACCTGATGTGCTTTAATCTGATCACAAGGGCAAGTTTAAAGGTTTGAGTGAGAAAGAACCTTGCTTCCTTTGGTAATTCAGGAGGTAAAGCTGCTGTGTCACAGCTGAAGTCAACTAAGGGACAATGGTTGTAACCTCAGAGGTTGTAATCTGAGAGGTGGGCCCCCAGGGTAGTTTAGCAATATACTGGTGGGGCAGATGGGAGTCATGATTTCATGAGCTGAACTGCGTCATGCAGAGCTGAATAACAGGAAAATGCGTACATGGGTTTGTACATTCTTCTCTTATATTCTGTACTTTTCCTTCTCTGAACCTCCCTCCCGGTGTGGTAAATTTGTTTTCGTGGTTGGTTAAACTTACGCTGCACAGAAAGCATACAGGCAAAAAGAAACACTGGTGCAGACCTAGGGCTGTTGTCTTTGGAAACACCATTCTTATTTCTGTAATTTCTTTTGGGAGGAGGCAAATGTATAGGGGGCCTTCTTGGGGCTGTCCTGGGCTCTCATCCTGTTCTTTTCCTCCTGTCATTCTCTTGGGAGTCTTTTACTTTTTATTCACAACCTTCCACCTTCTCCATCATCCATCTACCTGGAACCTAATTTGCCCCTGCTAATCTTACAGATCATTCAATCCTTTTATTATCTTTTTCTCTTCCCAAACTGTCATCTTTTAGGTCCTCTCAACAATGCTCATCTTGTTACCAGGGCCATCTCTTACCAGTCTCTAGGACCTTTGGTTATGTTCTCTGACCTTCATTGTCAGTGTTTCAGTTAAATTTCCCAACTCCTCAATTTCCCTCTTTTCCTTGTATGTCCATCAATGCTTCAGTTATTTTGACATCTCAAAGTGATGTCATTCATAGTATGTATATTATGAATGACACATATGTAATGGGTAATATAGTAAATATATACTGCTCTTCCTCTCTGTTCAGTCTCCACAGCCATTCTTCTTACTTTCACCCAATATACTTCTTCCTTGCCTTCCTGTTTCCTATTTTTCTTACTTCATTTCACTCTTTCAACCTTGGATCTAGAATTTTCTGTTTATACTTATTTTCTTGCTGATCTTACTCATTCGCAAATGTAACATGTCTAGGGCTGAACTCCTGATCTACCACAAACTTGCTCATTTATAGTCTTTATAAAATCAGAAAAATTTAACTCCATTTTTCTCAACCAAAACCTTGGAATAATCCTTGTTTATTCTCTTTCTCTCACACCCCACATCTAAACCTTCAGGAAATCCTATTGTCACTTCTTTCAAAATATCACCAGAATCTGACCTTTTTTTTTCTACCTCCACCTCCATTGGTCCAAGGCACTATCATCTCTACCCTGGAATATTATCAGCTCCTCGATAGTTTCTCTGCTTCTACTCTTGTCTCTTCTTCATTCTTCTCTTAACCTAACAGCCAGACTGATCCAGTCACCCATGTACTCAATATCCTTCAATAGCTTCTCATCATGTAAGTGGGAAAGACGAAGTCTGAAAATGGCTTATGAGACCCTCCTTGTCTAGCCCCATTATGTCTCTAACTTCAGCTTCTACTGTCCTTCCTACTTCACTTCTCCCCACTGGCTTCCGCCGCCCCTACAGGCACGTGCCTGCCTTAGGTCTGTGAACTTGCTGTCCCCTTTGCCTGGATGCTCCCAGACAGATACCTACACAGCTGGCTTGTGCACCTTCATCAGGTTTTATTCTAATGTTACTTCCTCACTGAGGACTTCCCTGGCTTCTTCCATGAAATCTCACCTGCCTGCTCTCCACTCCCAGCACTCAGTACTCGCTTTCCTGCTTTATTTTTATTCTCTGCTTTATTTTTATACCTTTCAGCATCTAATAATATATACCATTACTCATTTATCTTAACATATTGACTGTACAGTAGTCCACCCTTATCCATGGGGGATACATTCTGAGACCCCCAGTGGATGCCTGAAACTGTGGATAGTACCAAACCCTGTACATACTATTTTTTCCTATAAAATAGGCAATTTCATGAATAGAAGATTAGTTCTTACCATAGATCTTTGCAACCTTAGCATAAAAAATTTTTCTTTCCTTATTAAGTTAAGAATAGCAACCTTAGCATAAAAAATTTTTCTTTCCTTATTAAGAATGTTTACCTTTACTTTAAAGGAAGCACTGAAGGCTTCTCTTTGGCATATCTGAATTGCCAGCATCGCTAATCCAGTATTTTGGGGCCGTTGTAAAATAAGGGCTACTTGAACACAAGCACTGTGGTACCCTGACAGTGGATCTGATAACTGAGGCAGCTACTAAGTGCCCTATGGGCAGGGAGCCTATATGGCCTAGATATGCTAAGTAAAAGGATAATTCATGTCTCAGGTACGACAGAGTGGGATGGTGAGATTTCATCACACTACTCAGATTGGTGAACAATTTAAAACTTATGAACTGCTATTTCTGGAAGTTTCCATTTAACATTTTCAGACTGTAAGTAACGAAACTGTGGAAAATGAAACTGACACTACTCAGATTGGTGAACAATTTAAAACTTATGAATTGCTATTTCTGGAAGTTTCCATTTAACATTTTCAGATTGCAGGTAACTGAAACTGTGGAAAATGAAACTGCATAAGGGAGACTACTGTAATCCTCTTTAGAAGGCAAACCCATCAGAGTAAAGCTTTGCTTGGTTCATTGCCAAGTGCTCAGGATCAAGAAGAGTACCTGTCCACAGGGAGTTAATAAGTATTTGAGGAATGAATCCACTATTTTGTACCTCATGCTATCTTTCACGTGGCTTTAATTCCATTTTTGATCATGTTTGTTCCCTATGATTTCCTGTTTCCAATTCCTGCATCATTTACATCCACTTCCCTCCTTCATCTGGTTCATTGCCAAGTGCTCAGGATCAAGAAGAGTACCGGTCCACAGGGAGTTAAGTATTTAAGAAATGAACCCACTATCTTGTACTTTATGTCTTCTTCCTACTTCTTGTACCTCATGCTATCTTCCATGTGGCTTTAATTCCATTTTTTATCATATTTGTTCCCTATTATTTCCTATTTCCAATTCCTGCATCATTTACATCCACTTCCCTCCCTCATTTATTTGGCTTTGTTTCTCTTTGTTGTAAGACATGCTCTAGCTCAGTGAAGTTCAGTTCTTCTATTTTCTCTAATAATTTTTAAATCTCTACTTTATTATTCCCAAAACAACATAAGATGCTATTTACTGTGTGTAAGAAAATAGCTGTGGATGTTGGCCATATACTGCATAACCTGATGGGGAACAGTAAAAATGAAGTGTGTCCTGAGGACAAGGGAGAGGGGAGAGGACAGGTGACCCTGTGTTGGGCTCCTGAGAATCGTACCAATGACTAAAATAAAAACTCAGCCTTTAGTTAAATTAGACCACCATTTATGAAGTATGAGTGATTGTTCCATGAAAGGCTATGGTTTAGCAGCCTGTAGGAACACCTTTCTTCAACTTATTTAATGTCTCAACTAGCGATTCACATTATTGATCTTGTGAATGATATATCATGCTTAGAATGACATAATGCCGGGGTATAATCTACAAATGACTGGCAACTAGAATAACATATAAGACAGAAATACAGTTACCCAGTAAGGAATGTCCTCTCATTGACGAAGATCCAAGAAGAGTACTGGTCGGGCTTCATAGTCATCTTTCCTCCCTTTCTGAGGTCATCTATGGATACCCTAAAACATTAGAATAATATTAATGGCATGCACCTGTGATGCATTCATAAATCAGTTTCTGACTTAAATTGAATTTTCTTGTTGTGTCCCTAGTGTGTAGAAGTATTTGGGGAGAGGGGGTGTTTAAGTAGCGTTTCATGTATGGGCATGAGGGTTGGGTTGGGGAGAAAAGGAAAGAGAAGATATTTTTTTACCATGTGTCTTACACTCTGTAGGTGAGCCAGTCTATAGACCTTCTCTCAAAATCCTGCGACCATGTATCCCAGCAAGGTATGCAGGCTATTACCTCCACTCCAAACCCTCAGTAAGTCACGGAGCAGATCATTTGAAGCACAGCCTGCATATCTTCAAGGCCTCTAGTTTGTTTCCTTTTCACCAACATTTTTGCAGTTTGGAAAAGGTTATATAGATTAATTTTTTTATTTTCTATAAATCAGTCCATGCTAAGATTCTTTTCAAGGATTTTTTTCTATGTCGAAGGGAATTAATATTGAGGATAAATGAGATGTTCTGCAAAGCCTTCAATTGTAAGAAAATAAGCTTAGAGTTCAGAGTTTAACTACAACTCACGTTGAGTGAGTTTCTAAATGGCCTCCTCCAAAGCTCTTTTTCATGATTGCTCGTAATTTGTTTTGGGAACAAGTAATATAATATGTTGTCTTCTCTGCCCACTCCCACAAGCCCCAACCTACTTAAGTTTTAAGATCCTTGGGTGTTTTCCTCTGTTCTAATTACTCAATCTGTGCTTTTGAGAAAAACTTATTTTGTCTCTTTTGATATGATCTTTCATTTTATACTGAAAATTGTTTTCTTCATATAATTTAGGGAACATAGTAGTAAAGGAAGAAGAACAAACAATTTAATTTTGACAATCTCTAATGAAAGATGGTAAAGAGGACATATGAAGAAATATCAGATAAACCACAAACATATTAACTTGACAAATAGGCTTCCCTTTGGTAATCAATTTGAGAAACTGGCAACTGTGAGATAGAGAGACAGAGAGAGGGAAAGGCAAACAGGGCAGAGCAATAGTTGTAAGAAAGTTATAATATAAAATCCAATGTTGGCCCATGATAAATGCTAATGATTTGCAAATTTATAAGTGGAATCCTGGATCAAAGTTATGATGATAATAACTTTATGGTTGCTGGCTGTCTTAGCTACACTCTTTGTAAGGAATGTACTCAGTATATCCAAATCTGGCATTACTACTATTATAAAGAATCTTACTTCTGAATTTTTAGTATTTGATTTGGAATACAATCTAAAGATTTTTTTTTCATTTTTCAATTTATCCACAGTTCTAATACTACCAGATTTTAGTGATTTGAAAGTTATCCTCCTGTTCCATCCCTCTATAAATGCACAGGTGTGCTTGGAATGTTTGAAGCTGCTACAGAGCTTACATTTTATTGATAAATATAAAAAGAAAAAATGAGAAGCCATATGAAAAATTCTGCCCAGCTAGAATAATGTTTCTGAAGACTTTCTGGTTATATTTTATAGTAAAATCTCCAGAAATTTATAAAAAAAATGTAGAAGCCTTGCGGTTATAATATTTTAAAATAAAATTTCCAGAGACTTGTGGGAAAAAATCAGTCAGTTTTAAACTTCTGCTTACTAAGCAGCCCCGTGTTGTTTTCTTTAAGAAGATGTTAAATCCCAAAGGCTTCTAGGGTCTCAAATGAGGCATTTTGTGAAATTTTTGTGGCAACATGGGAATACAAGATAGCTGTAATAGAGAAGAGATCCTGGAGGTGTGAAGAAAATAGAAAACTGTACTAGGTAAACTAAAAAACTTCAGAATAAGTGGCCCAACGCAAGGAAGGATGGACCAATTTGGTAAGTTTTTGGAGTATTTCTAGAAAGAATTTTCTCCTGTAAGATTCTGTGCAAGGCAACATATTCCTCTTATTACAGAAATTAAATCCAAGCTGGCTGAACCCTGCCAATGCCTGCAGACACAATTTTAAGTTTTCAGGCAGCTCAAGTCAAGCTCAGACTCGCAGGGTTGATTGTGATGTAACATCACTGAAGTCTCCTTCAGGCTCTGGAAACTGTGGTCAGACGTGAATAATATCCTCCTTTAGGTTGTCATATAAGTGGTATTAGGTATAACCAGAGATTTTAAGTTTAATAATTTCTAGTCATTCCATCTTGCAGAAATTGAATATTTAACTACGATTGCTTCAAGCCTACAGAATTACAAGGGATATAGCCGGAATAAAAAGGTAGGCTGGAGGGAAAAGATAATTTTTTTTATTTAAAAAAAAGAGGGAGAGGGATTTCCTTCTTTTTCTTCCGAATCAGATTATTTTGGTTGGGATAGGGTGTGTGGAAGACATTTCATGTTTTTCTTCCTCCAGGAGACTCGCTGTCCAAAACAAAACAAAACAAAACAAACAAAACAAACAAAACAGCCATTCTCACAACATTTCTGATGCATATTTTTCCTTATAGCACATTGTTAGTTTGAAATTCTGTCATCTACTTGAATGTTATGAGCACATTTCGTCAGGCAGATTGTAATAGTCTCTAAGCTGGATAGTTGATGAGTTTCTCATTATGCTTTTACCCTTCTGATCTCATTTCATCTTCTTGTTCACAAATATTCCCGGGATCTCATTCTTAGCAAAACAAATACAGCCCTAGCCCCTTAACCTGACATTCAGGCTTTCTGCAATTCCACTCAAACCTACTTTTCAAACTTAAAATTGAAGCTTTTCTTTAATACCAGGCCTTCAAGTCTAATGAAATCTCAAACCACAGAGTGTTCTACCAAGTTTAATAATTTCTAGTCATTCCATCTTGCAGAAATTGAATATTTAACTACGATTGCTTCAAGCCTACAGAATTACAAGGGATATAGCCGGAATAAAAAGGTAGGCTGGAGGGAAAAGATAATTTTTTTTATTTAAAAAAAAGAGGGAGAGGGATTTCCTTCTTTTTCTTCCGAATCAGATTATTTTGGTTGGGATAGGGTGTGTGGAAGACATTTCATGTTTTTCTTCCTCCAGGAGACTCGCTGTCCAAAACAAAACAAAACAAAACAAACAAAACAAACAAAACAGCCATTCTCACAACATTTCTGATGCATATTTTTCCTTATAGCACATTGTTAGTTTGAAATTCTGTCATCTACTTGAATGCTATGAGCACATTTCATCAGGCATATTGTAATAGTCTCTAAGCTGAATAGTTGATGAGTTTCTCATTATGCTTTTACCATTCTGATCTCACTTGATCTTCTTGTTCACAAATATTCCTGGGATCTCATTCTTAGCAAAACAAATACAGCCCTAGTCCCTTAACCTGACATTCAGGCTGTCTGCAATTCCACTCAAACCTACTTTTCAAACTTAAAATTGAAGCTTTTCTTTAATACCAGGCCTTCAAGTCTAATGAAATCTCAAACCACAGAGTGTTCTACCAGTTGCTTTGTACAAGAGGGCCCTTGTCACTCCAGATTTCTGCTTCCTTCTAGTCCTTGATCAAGTTTGACCTTATCAAATCTCCCACAGCTTGTTATCTACACTGTTGTGATGCCATTTTCTGCATTCGACCTTGTATTGTTATTATTGATTTATGTCTTGCCTACTCATATCCTCCTGCTCAAAGAATGTGTTCCTCTAGATGGGAATGTCATCCTCTCTGATAGCACATCATTTAGAAGAACTCTCCATAGCATGGCGAGGACTCAAGCCCCAGGGTCAGAAGCTCAGCAAACTGGGCAAATTAACTCTGTAGGTCAAACACTACATGAGCATTTTAGGCAATGCTGCGACAGAGACACAGCACACTCCATGAGCCCAATACTAGTAAATCCCAGTTTCTCGTTCATAGAATTTAGCCTGGGTTGTTTGGTTACCACAGCCCTTGCTCTTGTTTCTAAAACCTGAGTTTTACCTCTAGATTTGTGATTCTAATCACCAATAAAGAAAAGTTATTGATGCACCCTCGTAAGATTTCCCCAGTGGTTACCTTGAGGTCCAAACACTACCATTCCTTCTCCTGAATCCAGATTCGTTATCATCTATTCCTTTAATTTATCTCTCCTTGCACCTCTCCTCCTACATTCCAATAGTTCATTTTCTCTGCCTCGTAGCAGCATTTGACAAGGTTGATTGTTCTCTTCTTTTGAAACACTTTTATCTTTAAGGTATTTTGAAGTAATCACAACAACCTTGCTTTACTTTCTTGCTGTCTCATTGGCTTCACTATTTTAGCCTCCTTTGCTGACTTCTCTAAGAATCACAAAATGCTGGCTTTTTATGTCCTTGGCCATCCCCTCTATCTACATTTTCTTCCAGATAATTGAATTAATCTCCAGCACAGCCTCTCTGCTGAGCTCAACTATGTACTTATTCTCTCTGGATGTCTAACAGCCATCTCAGTATCAACCTGGCCAAAACAGAACCACTGACTTTCGCCCATGCTTCAGAATTCCCACCTCCACAATTCTTTTCTATCTGCCCAATTAAGCACAAAAACTTAACAGTCAGTCTTATTTTTAATTCTTCCATCATAACCAGATTCCAATCCAGAAGTAAGTTCTATTGATTGTATCTCCATATGTAACCTGAACTCAAAAGCTCCTATTTCCAAAGCTACGGCCTTGAGCCAAGCCACCATCACCTTTCTCCTAGATTATCTCATCAGTCTCCTGACTGGTCTCCCTGCGTCCACATGGTGATCAACATTCCATTCTTCACACAGCATAACGGCAATTTCAAAGATCAAGTCAGATTTTGTCATCCTATGACTAAAACCTTGCAAAGACTTGCAAGAATGAACTAGAATAAAATATAACCTTCCTGTGATTACTCATGAGGTCCTGCCAATCTCTTCAGTATTCACTTCCTTTATTATTTTCCTTAGTGAATCTATGTCATTTACATTGGCCTTCTTTCTGGTGTTCAATTACCCCTAAGTTCATTCCTGCCTCAGGGACTTATCCTTGCTGCTCCTCCTCATTGGAGCATCCCCCATCATGCAGA